AAAAAAAAAAAAAAAAGAAAAAAATGTGATATAGTCATACAATATTATTTGGCCATAAAAAGAAATGATGAACTGATAAATGTTACAACATGGATGAATCTTAAAAACATTATGTTAAGTAAAGAAGCCTGTCAGGCTGGACACGGTAGTAGCCTCTCAAGTAGCTGGGACTACAGGTACATGCCACCCTGCCGAGCTAATTTTTGCATTTTTTAGTATTCTTCAGTTTTCTAATTCAGCGGGAAACACAGAAAAAAGCTAAAGAGGGAATGAAATCAATAATAAATGTGTCATCTATACAGGACTAGAATGCCTCTTGACACTCATTAATTTGAGGACTGAGGTAGACGTTCTTAGATCCATGGATTGTTTTCACACACATATTTTTTTTTTCTTTAATGTAATGAGCATGTGTATATGCATTTTTTTCCCAGGGGAAAGGCTACATCGTTTTCACCAGATTGACAACCGTTCTAGATCCCCGACAGTTCACGAACTGCAATACTGGTTTTTCACAGGTTTGTAATATAAAAGGATGCAATTCGTCGAATCTAGTTTTTATATCCACTTGAGGAGACAGGAGCTTCTACCCCAAACAAAAATGGCAGGAGGTGCTTCACACGCAGCCCCTCTTGCAGAAAGCCTGGAAGGCCCGCTCCACTTTCTCTCCACCTTCCCACTCCTGACCCCGGAAGGACTCCGCCTTCCCCCGTCAGGCTGCTGCCGCTCAGCGCCAGGCTGCAGCTGGGAAGCAGGCGTGGGCGGACCAGCTGTACCTGGTCTGGAGCTCCCGGTACAGGCACGGGTGGGGCGGGGTGGCGAGGCGGGCGGAGGAAGGGGAGAGTTGGGTAACCACGCAGTTGGGGCAGAGCCCCCGGGGCAGGGGTGGCGCGGACTCCATCGCTGGCGTTAGCTCTCTTCCGAGCCAGGTGGAGCGGCGGAAAGCCGAAGGGTCGACGGCCGTGCCAGCCTGAACACCCCGACCTCGTCTCATCTCAGAAGCTAAGCAGGGTCAGGCCCGGCTAGTACTTAGGAATGCAGGAAGGTCCCCACGCCGGAGGGTCCCCACGCCGGAGGGTCCCCACGCCGGAGGGAGGCCTGTAAAGGAAGCGCGGAATTGGGATGGGACCGCTCGGAGCCCGAAGAAGGGTCTGGATGGCCGAGCTGGAGGGAGCCCCTTTTCTGGTCCTCTTGGTACAGAAAAAGGAAGACAGCAGAGGAGAGCTCGGCGAGGGGCTGCTCTGGGGTCGGGGGAGAGCCCGCTGGAGGTTGGGCAGCTGGTGAGGTCCCAGGTTCGGCTTGGATGCGGGTGGTTTTGAGCAGGGAGTGGCTTTTGAGTGTGAAAGATTGCGCTGCTCTGCAGGTGCTTTCAGAGAATAATTTAGCACGGGTGTGCTGTGGTGTCAGGTCCTTAGTTGTTAAATATCTATTTTCCGGAGGGAGGACTCAGCTTGTTTTTGCACAAGACTTTGAGACCTTTGTTATTGTTGTTGTTGCAAGTAAACATTTTTGCTCTGTTCAAAGTGGCTTCTCAGAGTTAGGTTATATAGATCTGTGCTTCACGTCAATTTTCTGTTTGGTATTTCAGACTTTCCTTCCTGTTGGATTATAAAGTCAAAGTTGTAGGATAGAATTTTAAGATGTGTAAGATACAGCTGTTTATGACACTTATTTTTACTTCCCATGTAGTTGGAATGGAGAGGAACAAGTAATATCACACAGGACAGTATTTTTGGTTGTGTTTTATCGATTCCTTCTACAAATTTGAATAATCATGAAACCACTTTCATGTTTGTTTTTTAGTATACTTCTGAAAGCAAATGAAATGACTAGTTTTTTTTGTTTGTTTGTTTTTCAATTAATAATGATTAGCTTTGGAATCAACTTCCTCAGTAATTTTAAATGAAAGGGAATGAGGTAGTTAGAATGCAAAAATAGAGGTTTGTCACAATCCTTTTTTTTTTTCTTTTTGAGACAAAGTCTCACTCTGTCGCCCAGGCTGGAGTGCAGTGGCGCCATCAGGGCTCACTGCAACCTCCGCCCCCAGGGTTCTAGCAATTACCCTGCCTCGGCCTCCCAAGTAGCTGGGATTACAGGCGTGTGCCACCACGTCCAACTAATTTTTTTGTAGTTGTAGTAGAGAGGGGTTTCACCATGTTGGTCAGGCTGGTCTGGAACTCTTGACCTCAAGTGATCCACCTGCCTCAGCCTCCCAGAATGCTGGGATTACAGGCATGGGCCATCGCACCCGGCCGAGGTTTGTCATAATCTTTTAAGAAAATCTCTGCAGCCACTTAAAGTGTTTGCTTTATTTTCCTTCTCTTATGCTTAAAATTTGGAATGCTCTATTATAGGTAAAATTCCTTTGGGTGAATTACTCAGTATTTTTTTTTTTTAATGCAGTAGTTTAGATTGCTTAATGATCCAGAATCTAATTAGTAAAAATGTTTCTCAAAATAAAATTTATTAATTTTTAGGGAGGGAGAAGAATAAATGTGCTTCTCCTCACCTCCTTTTTACTGTAGTGATATAAAGTAATGCATGTAGGCAAGTTTTTAAAAATCAAGTATTAAAGACAGACTTATAAGGAAACGTAGTTATTTTCTGCCCAGCTTCTCTATACCCCTTGTCTTATTCTCCAGGGGATCATTTTTTTCTTTCTTTCTTTTTTTTTTTTTTGAGGCGGAGTTTCGCTCTTGTTACCCAGGCTGGAGTGCAATGGCGCGATCTCGGCTCACCGCAACCTCCGCCTCCTGGGTTCAGGCAGTTCTCCTGCCTCGGCCTCCTGAGTAGCTGGGATTACGGGCACGTGCCACCATGCCCAGCTAATTTTTTGTAGTTTTAGTAGAGACGGGGTTTCACCATGTTGACCAGGATGGTCTCGATCTTTTGACCTCGCGATCCACCCGCCTCGGCCTCCCAAAGTGCTGGGATTACAGGCATGAGCCACCGCACCCGGCCCAGGGGATCATTTTTCACTTGCTTAACTGTTCATGGTTTCTTCTGTACTTTTTAATCATATATCTATGTCACAGATTGTTGATCAAAATAAATGTATGTCAGTTAGAACTAACTATACTGAGTCTAAAAGCTGTACTGACAACACTGGTAGGGGGAATTAAGTAAGCATCAGTGGTAATAACCCACCCTAAGAGGTATTGCTGTGTTTGATTTGAAAGGAAACCACTACATAACCAGTGTTTTTGACACTTGTCTGAAAACAGGTAGGTATTAACAAAAGGGAATAGTCTACTGGAGTACAGAAAAAGAGAACATAGAGATATATGCAGAAATGAAGGGCCTAAAAAAGCATAGCAAAATCATTTTTTTCTTTTTCTGGAATAGGCAGGGTTTCACCATGTTGCCCAGGCTGGTCTCGAACTCCTGGGCTCATGGGCTCAAGCCATCCACCCACCTCGGCCTTCCAAAGCCACTCCCAAAGTGGCTCAGGCATGAGCCACTGTGCCCAGCTGCAAATAAACTTTTATAGAGGGATTGTTGATAATTTTTATATTCTGTTATGTAATATATAGCACTACTCAAAGAAAAAATATAATAAATTTGGTAGGCATGAACATTCTGGTTATTGGAGATGCCCATTCTCTTGTGCATTAGAGATAGTGCTTAGGCGTTTTCTTGGCCTGAGCGAAATACTTCTCAGAACTCTTGATTTTTGCAGTCATCAGGCAACATTTTTGACTTATCAGTTCAGCTTTCTACAGTCTTCGATTTCCAGGAGGGCATGTTTTGATAGAATAAGTATTCTGGTCACTAGATAGCGTGTTTCTTTATTATAAGTAGATAAACTTGTAAACTGATTTATGCATCAATACCATGTAAATTTGTGATAATAACAGTGATAAAATTATGTTTCTGGCTCTGTAAAGCAGACACCCAGACCCTGAACCACTGACTGCTTCTCTGTACTCATCTGACTTTTCTTTTTTTGGTCAAGAGAAATAATACACATTAAAACCATACCAAAATCATATAGCATGTATGTGGCATTTCTTTGAAGATCTTAAAAATGAGACAATAGGAGAATAAATGTGTGAGTTCTGATGTTCAGTCAGTGCACCCTGAGGTTCTAGCCCCAGGATTCTGTTCCGGATTCCATTCAGCAAGCTGCCTGCCGCCCACTCTCATGTCTGAAGTTATATGAAGGAAACAAAATGAATGGGAAGAAGTAAATTTTAAATTACTCTCTAAAAGATGTTAAATTTTTATGTAACCAGAAAAGAGAGAATCTAGAACTTGCAATTTCCTAGGGAAAATTTGCTACCTAGACTCAAAGTTTAAATCCCACTCGCTTGCTTGCCTGTCTGCCTGCCTGCGTGCGCGCACGCGCGCGCGCTCACTCACTCTTTTCCTTTCTTTCTGCTATCTCCTACAGGAAGGATCAGCTTAAGTGTAGTGTCATCAATAATTGACTGTAAAAATAAGCTGATAGAATTAAATTTTCAGTTTGTACCTTTCATTGTTAAAGTAACCAGAAATCTCTGTGGCTAATATGTGTTTATGTTTCATTTAATGAAGATTAGAAGAGGAGCTATGTCGGAAGAAACCATAAATGAATCACAGTTTTCCTTGAAGACGGCAGCACTAAGAGTGTTTGACCTTCCTCTGTCTTGGTACTATTCTCTCTCCCAGGTAAATAAAAGAAGCAAACATGAAGTTTTTTGAGGTTTCTATATGGTACAGTCAAAATATTTATTATAGTAATTTAAAAACCTACTTGGTTATTTTATGGGGTTTTGCTTTTTGGTTATCATAACTCTTAAACAGGGGTCACATTACTTGAAATTTTTTTTCTATCTTAAGTGAACTTAAGTAGTCCATTATTACTACTTTCAGTGAATTGTGTCATTCCAGTAGGCCTGTTCTCACTATTAACAATCCTTTTAATTTTATTGTGGTAAAGTACAAATAACATAAAATTGACCATTTTGATCATTTTTAAGTGTCTAGTTCATTAGCCTGAAGTACAGTAATGTTGTACAGACAATATCCAGAAGTCTTTTCATCTTGCAAAACTCAAACTCTACAGCTGTTTATCAACATCTTACTATACATCCCTCCTATCAGTCCCCACCACCACTTAATTTTCTGTCTCTATGAATTTGACTAGGTACCTCACAAGTAGAATCCTACGTTCTTTTTGTGACTAGCTTATTTTACTTAGCATAATGTCCTCAAGGCTCATCCATGTCGTAGCATATGTCAGCATTTCCTTTCTTTTTATTACTTTTCATTTTGAGAATTTTTTTGAGACAGAGTCTTGCTTTGTCACCCAGGCTGGAGTGCAGTGGCACGATCTTGGCTCTCTGCAACCTCCATCTCCCAGGTTCAAGTGATTCTCTTGCCTCAGCCTCCCGAGTAGCTTGGACTATAGGTGTGCGCCACCATGCCTGGCTAATTTTTGTATCTTTAGTAGAGATGGGGTTTCACCATGTTGGCCAGGCTGGTCTGGAACTCCTGACCTCAAGCTATCCGCCCATCTTGGCCTCTAAAAGTACTGGGCATATTGATACTTCTAACTTTGATCCAACAGCAGAGATTTCATTTTAGCATTCCTACTTGGATCGTTTGTGACGTGTTTATTCAACAGTGAGACCTGGCTCTTGTAAACTATAGTGTATTACTCATAATATATTTACTTATCATGCGATCTAGTGTATGCATAAAGAAATTTCAGAATTGGCATCCCAAAGTATTAAAATTTTAAAATTTAACTTAATTTTTTTTTTTTAAGAGATGGAGTCTCACTTTGTCACCCAGTCTGGAGTGCAGTGGTACGATAGTAGCTCACTTGAACCCCTGGGCTCAAGTTATCCTCCTGCCTTAGCCTCCCAAATAGCTGAGACTACAGGCGGGTGCCACTATACTTGGCCCCAGTACTCCTTTGAGAAACAAATTAACCAACAGATTACAGTGTTTAGTCTCTGTAGCCTTACAATATCCAGGCAAAACCCTGTCACTTAGGTCAGCGCCTTTCTTCCTCACACTCTTCAGTGCACTTCATTTGGAACAAAGTTTGATTTACTTTTCGCAGCCTGTGATTTATCTTGGGATCCATCTGTGATCTTATATCCTGGTTGATTTTTTTTCAATTGACATGGAACACAATTTGTTCTTTGTTGTGCCCAGTTCTGTGTGTTTGGACAGCTGTGCAGTCATGTGTCCTTCATCACTGTACCAAACAGAACAGTTCTTCATCCCCAGAGTTCCCCTGTGCTGCCCCTTTGTGGTCACCTCCTCATCCTCTAACCCCTAGCTGCCATTGATGTTTTCTGTCCCTATAGTTTTTTTACCCACAAATGTCCTATAAATGGAATTATACAATATGTAATGTTTTGAAACTGACTTCCTCCTGTTAGCATAATGCATTTGGAATTCATCCACATTGTTGTCTGAATAGTTTGTCCTTTTTTGTTGATGAGTAATGTTCCGTTGTATGAGTGTACCACAGTATATCTGTTCACCTGTTGAAGGGTATCCAGGTTGTTTCTGACTTTAGGTGATCATGAGGTCATGCATATTTTTTCCTATATTTTCTTCTAGAAATTTCTTCTTTGAATTTTCTTTCACCTTTGACAAAAATAGGTTGACTATATGTTTGTGTGTGTTTCTTGCAGGCTGTCTATTCTGTTGTATTGCTCTATATATCCACACTGTCTTGCTTGTTGTTTTATAGTTAAGTCTTGAATTCGGCTAGTATGAGTTCTATAACTTTGTTTTTTTTTAAATTGTTTTGGTTCTTCTAGTTTCTTTGCTTTTTCTTAATTAAAAAAAAATAAGTTTATCAGTATTTACAAAAAATTTTCCTGGGTTTTTGATTAGGCTTATGTTGTTTATATAGATCAAGTTAGAGAGAAAAAAATCCTATAATCCATGAATATGATGTCTCTTTCCTTTTATCTTTGATATCTTTTGTGTTTCCTTGTTCTGTAGCACAGATTTTTGTTAGATTTAGCTCTAATATTTTCCTTTTTCTTGGTGCTATTATAAACAGTATTACTTTTTAAAATTTAAATTCCAGTTGCTTATTCCTGTTCTATAAAAATACAGTTGATATTGTATATTGAATTTGTATTCTGTTATCTTGTGAAACTTACCTACTAGTTATAGGAGCTTTTTTGTGGAGTGTTTGGAACTTTCTATATAGACAGCTGTATCATATGTGAATAGAGTTTTACTTTTTCCTTTCTAATATGCATTCCTTTTATTCCTGTTTCTTAACTTTTTTGTACTGGCTAGTACTTCTGGCATGACATTGGTGAAAAGACATCTTTACCTTGTTCATGATCTTATGGGGAAAGCAGTTAGTCTTTCACCATGAATTATGATCTTAGCTACAAGTTTTTAAAATAAATACCCTTTATCAGATTGAGGAATTTACCTTTTGTGTTAGTTCCCTAGGGTTACCATGACAAATTACCACAAACTTGGTGACTTAAAACAATAGAAATTTAATTTTTTAGTTATGGAGGCTGAAATCACAGTGTAATAGAGCCACACTTGCTCTGAAGGTTCTAGGGGAGAATCCGTCCTTGCCTTTTCCAGCTTCTGGTGACTCCAGACATACCTGAGACTGGGTAATTTACAAAGAAAAAGAGATTTAATGGACTCACAGTTCCACGTGGCTGGGGAGGCCTCACAATCATGGCAGAAGACAAAATGCATGTCTTTGATGGCTCAGACAGGAGAGAAGTGAGAGCCAAGCGAAACGGGTTTCCACTTATAAAAGCTTCAGATCTTGTGAGACTTACTCACCACCACGAGAACAGTATGGGGGAAACCGCCCCCATGATTCAATTATCTCTCACCGGGTTTATCCCACAACACATGGGAATTATGGGAACTATAATTCAAGATGTGATTTGGGTAGGGACACAGCCAAACCATATCACAGCATAACTTCAGTCTCTTTACATGGCCTTCCCCTTTGTGTGTTTATGGTTTACAAAGATACTCTTACTGGATTGAGGGCACATCCTAATCCAGTATGGTCTCATCTGAATTCTTAATTATATCAGCAAAGACCCCATTTTCAAATATGATGACATTCTGATGTTCCAGGTGGACATGAATCTTTCTGGGACACTATTCAACCTACCACATCTTCTATTCCTAATTTGCTGGGAGTTTTTAAGTAATCATAAATGGATGTTAAGTATTTTAAAGTGCTCTTTTCTCATCTGTTGAGATAATATCGCTTTTTTTTTTTCTCTTTTTTTTTTTTGTAGGACACTTCACCTGGAAATATTGCTTTTCTTTAGTTGATATTATGGTAAATTACATTGATTTTTTAAGTGCTGAACCAGGTTTGCATTCCTAGAATGTATGCCACTTGGTTGGTATATTTTTAACATATTGATGAATTTTATTTGTTAATATTTTGTTGTGGGTTTTTTGCATCTGTCAATGAGGGGTATTGACCTATAGTTTTATTTTTTTGTGATATCTTTGTCTGGCTTTGCTATTAATAACAGATTGTCCCCATCTTAATAATTTTTTGACTTTACGATTATGCACGACCATTGCAAATTTGACATAATGTATGGTATTCAATAAATTACATGAGATATTTAAGACTTTATCATAAAAGAAGCTTTGTGTTACATGATTTTACCCAACTGTAGACTAATGTATTAATAAGTGTTCTGAGCATGTTTAAGGTAGGCTACTTTAAGCCATGATGTTTGAAAGATTGGGTGTATTGAATTCATTTTTGGCTTATGTTTTCAACTTAGGATGGGTTTATTGGGCTATAACCTTGTCATAAGTCTAACAGCATCTGGACTAGCTTGATAACATGATTGGAAAGTATCCTCATTATATGAAAGTGATACTGTTTCTTCTTTAACTACTTGGTATCATTTGACCTTCAGTTTTTTTTATTGAAAGCATTTAACTACCTATTCAATTTCTTTAATAGATTTTTAACTGCCCATGTTATCTGTTTTTTTTTTTTTTTTTTTTTTTTTTTTTTTTTTTTTTTTTTTTTTTTTTTTTTTTTTTTTTTCCCTGAGTGAGTTTTGGTTTTGTCCTTCAAAGAATTTGAATTTATGGATGTAGAATTGTTTATAATATCCTTTTTACAGATCTTTGTGAGGTCTGCAGTGATGACTCCTCTTTTTTTTCTGATTTTGGTAATTTGTGTCATTCTTGCTTTTTTTTCTTAATGAGACTGGCTAGAGGTTTTATCAGTTTTCCTTCCAAAAAAACCAGCTGTTGGTCTTACTGATTTCTGCTTTAATCTTTATAATGCTTCCTATCTTGTGCCTGCTTTAGTTTGAATTTGCACTTCTTTTTCTAGATTCTTAAGTTGAAAGCTTAGATTACTGACTTGATATATTTCCTTTTTTAATATAAGCATTTAATGGCTTAGATTTCTCTCTAAAGATGCATCCACAGTTTAAGGCTTTTGTTCTTTTATGGGGATAGAGGAGAAAGGTTCTGGTGCCAGTTCATGCCCTCCACAGAAGCTGCTGTTTCCTTCCCTCTCTACCGTTAGGGAGACTTTCCTAGGACTCTTTCCGTATTTTCTGTGAGTGCCTAGTGATTCATGAAGATAAAATCTGCAAAAATGGTGTCGATTTCACCTACATTTGCAGCACCTCTCCCCCATCTCTCAACAGTGTATTCTTTCTCCACCAGTTTTGAAACCATGCTCACTGACCTTTTCTTACCAATGCCCTGCTATGTCTTGTCCGTGTAGGCCAAAGCTAATGTCTTAACTGTCTGCAAATACCTGTCTCATTAGTTTAGGGGGCAGTTGGTTGCCCTGTAATCTCCTTATTCTGGTGGAGTCAGAATACTTTATTTTGTTGTTGGAAGGTTGGAAGTGACATTCTTTCCAGCTCTCTTTGGCTTTATTTTAGAGTTCTTCTGCTTTTAGGTATTTAATAGTGTTTGTCTCTCAAGAGAAAGTTAATCACTTATTGTTCTCATGTTAGTACTTAGTACTTGTATAACTGTATTTATCACATTATGCCGTAATTATTTTCCAACATAACTATTTCCACTATGAGCACACTGCTTGAGGGAAATAGACAAGTATATGCAAAATGCAAGATCTGTGACCTCTGTATACCTAGTGCTTCCTGATTGGTTGTAGGCACTTATTATGTGCTCATAGAATAGAATTACAGTAAGATTTTAATTCATAACACAGTCTGGTACTTTAAGATTCTGAAGAAATACTTGTTGAATAATTCTTGAATAAAATGGCTTATTTAGAAAGTATTTAGAAATGGATTTAGCTTCTATTTCCACAGATTTTCAGATAGTTTTTTTAAAGCTCAGTTTAAGTCTAATCATCCCTGTAATTAAAAATCTTGCTGTGATTCAGACAGAAGATTCAGTTGTGTGAATTAATCCTTAATTGCTCAAAAAATGTTAATGGGGTTGAATTATTTTCTACTATTAACTTCTGGGATAATATTGTTTACCTGAGATCTCCAAAGCAGTGAGTAATAAATTACTACATTTAAAATATTTTTAAAAAATAAAATAGGGTAGGGGCCGGGCGCGGTGGCTCAAGCCTGTAATCCCAGCACTTTGGGAGGCCGAGGCAGGTGGATCACAAGGTCAAGAGATCGAGACCATCCTGGTCAACATGGTGAAACCCCGTCTCTACAAAAAATACAAAAAATTAGCTGGGCATGGTGGTGCGTGCCTGTAATCCCAGCTACTCAGGAGGCTGAGGCAGGAGAATTGCCTGAACCCAGGAAGCGGAGGTTGCAGTGAGCTGAGATTGTGCCATTGCACTCCAGTGTGGGTAACAAGAGCGAAACTCCGTCTCAAAAAAAAAAATAAAAAAATATAATAGGGTAGCTTGTCATTGCAAGAGTAAAATTATATTTTCTTGACAGTATTTAGAAATAGATTAAGAGTAACTTTAGTTATTAGATCCTTCTTTTCAGTGAAAAATTAAAGATTTTTTTTTCAGTTTTAACTGCATCTTTTCCAGATCAGATTTTCTCCAGTGGCTAAAAAGTTGTTTGTGGTAACTGCAGTGAGTGCTATATCTGTAATTTTTCTGGCCCATCACTTTAAAAGAAAACGTGGAAAGAGGAAAGGAAAAATATTACCATGGGAACCAGAGCATCTCATACTTGAACACACTAAAAGAGCAGCATCAGACAAAGGTATGTGGAAATAGTTGAATTAAGAAATTTTATGTGTAAATCATAACTGGAATACAGTGATTTTGGTCTTTTAGTCTCCAAAATTTTTCCTAATATATTATTTAACTCAAAAGTAATACAGATTTATTTTAGAAAGATTAGAAAATGTAGGTAAGCAAACAGAAAAAATTAAAATCACTTGACATTCTGCTACCCAAAAATAACTACTGATAATACTTTCATTTATATCAGTGTCCACTTAAATATTATAGTGAGACATAAAATTGTATATTATATGCAAGTCAATTATGTATTGTAAGTAAAATTGTAATCAGACATTTTATAACCTGCTTTTAAGATATTTGACAGTAAGAATGTCTAAGTCAATAAATATCCCTCTTTGCAATCATTTTTAATATATAACTAGTGTTAATTTGCACAAATGTACCCCAGTTTATTTAATCATTTCCCCATTGTTCACTTTAGAATCTGTGGTTTCCTTTTTTTTTTCTTTTTTTTTTTTTTTTTTGAGACGGAGTTTCGCTCTT